AACATGTTTTACCCCGTACCCAAAATATTTGTTGAACATTTTAAATAATAATTAGGTATACCTAATCAATAATTTATTAATACTATATGTACAATATTATTCATGCAATTATACAAAACATAAAATACTTTTAGATAGGTACTCAATAATAATCCTGATTTCTGATGTACCTGTTGTTTTTTAAATCTAAATGTTGAACTATTTTAAACAATGGGTACTACTAAATAAGTAATTAATTTTTATTTGTACAATTATAAATGTTATTATGTACTTAATTATCATATTATAATAGAATACCGTTTTTCAAAATCTATCAATAATAATTTGATGAATCAATAACCATTACTTATACCTCTATACCAGCGATTCTCAAACTGTGCTCCGCGGAACCTTAGGGCTCCGTGGGCATATGTTAATTATCTAAATTTAAATATTATTAAATTTCTTAATTATTGAGAAAAACACTGGTAACCTGAATTGCGCAAAGAGTTATACTTTTTAGTGACACCAATTTTATTTACAACTAAGACTTCTAATAAAATTTGATTATTATGACTTTATAACTTGGCTGGTATTTTCACAAAATTAAATAAAGTAAATTTATCAATACAACATAAAATTACCAAAGTTTTCATAGCAAATGACAAAATCCGAACTTTAAAAAAAATGAAATTTTGAACTGTGTGTTTTTCTCAATATGAAATATAAATAATTATTGTTGTCTTGAATATAAATTTTTGATTTTCAGGGCTCCGTAAATTTTTTTGAAAACATAAGGGCTCCGCGGACAAAAAAGTTTGAGAACCACTGCTCTATACAATACCAATATTTTTCACAATTGAACCCAAATGATTTGTAAATTTATTTATTGACAATTCATAACAATTTTAAGTTAACACTTTCTGTATGATTTTAAATTCCAAATTGACACGGCCTCAAGTCGGTGGTAGGTTTTTCCTCGGTGAGGTGGCCGGTCACAGTTGAGTGAAGTGGATCGTGTTTTTTTTTAAAAAAAAAAAAGAAGAAAAAAAGAAAAACCACGAAACCGAACTGAATATGTTTTTCACGAGTTTATTGTCAAAGCGAACAAAAACAAAACAGATACGGAATGTGGTCCTCTGGTGACGGTGGTGGAGAGACGCGAGAAATGTCCGTCGACAATGTGCTTCCACGACAGTCACGAGCAAAAAAAAAAATAAATACTTTTAATTGACGGATCGGAGTGTCGGTATGTCGGGTTGACCAAACCAGTGTCCGTCGTAAGATGGGGGCCTCGTCCGTAGACACTGCCCGCCGGCCGCTGGTGCACTCCCTTATCGGCATCAAAAGCTTTCCCCCTCTGCCCGGTGTCCGAGGTAGGTAGGAAAGTGTTGGTGCGATATTATCGCCACCCGGGATGTGGCTGGAGAGAAGCTAACGCGGTGCGCGGTGTCGGTGTACATATTGTACCTACGACATCACGGTACCGCATCAAAATTATCTATATGATTGTTATATGATATACATACCGTTTTTTTCTGAGAAAATCAGCAATACCCACGCCAACTGAAATCATGGGTGATTGTAAACTCCATCAGAATATCAGTTAAAATAAAAAGGTAATAAAATGTCTAATGTAAATTCTGCCAGTTTTTTTTGTGTTGCCTGTGAATCCTCTTATAATCATATAAGAAATTAATTTTATAAACGTCAACCGAATTTTCATATTTTTAGTAAAGTTCTTACCGAATTTCAAACCCATACTTATATAAAACTAAATGGCATATCTCAAGTAAATAAGCTAAAAAACTCGAAATAAAAAAAAAATGACAGTGTTATAAGATGCTATAAATAGGTACACTAATGGATTTATACAAAACTTAGAATATTTACAAATTGTATCACATAATTTTAGTTTACATACATGACATAACTTTATATTTTTGGATTATAAATATAATTATATTATATTATAATTAATATAATAATCGTTTTAACGATTATTTATTATGATTTTTTTTTTTTTTTTACTGTGATTTAAATGTTTAATGTGAACGATATTATATTATATTATATATATGTTACCATAAATGCCCGATCACTAGATAAACCTAGGTTTTACAAGACAATGCTAGGTTTTACTGTTTGTACTCAGTAAATGCTGAAATTCTAAATTTTATTCGGGCTTTTACTAAACACGTTGTGTACATCCTAGGATATACAAATTGACTTAGTAAAAGCTGATCAATACGTGACACATAACATTTAAGCTGCGTAAAAATTATAATTATATATTATTAAAACAAACTACCGACAGATATTTAAATTCTTTATACAAAATAAAAATCATTTAAAAACAGAATCATTATTTATTCTTCATAAAAATTAAGTAAAATTCAGTAAAATTGATGGGTAGTTAGAAATAATTATTTAAAATTTTTATTTATTCGCACATGTTGTACTATTATGACTCCTGCTATTACATAATACATTTGACTGGCGGCATTTGCATTTTTTAGTTGTACATTTTTTCTGGCAATCACACCTTAAAAATCCTTGCCCACCTGATAGTGAAAGTTGAGCAACAGCTTTGCGTATGCTTGTTGCTGTATTTGGAACATCGGATATTGAAATACATTTTTCTCTGCATAAAGTAAATTGATTTCTAGTGAATAATTGATTCAATGTCACAGCTTTAGATCCTATTCGATAAAATTCTTCGTCAATAATTTCAACAACTACAGCCAATAATTTGCGAGAATCAATTTTACATCGGTCGAAATCTGGAATTTTCACTCGCACTGTTTGACCAATTAATACAGCAGGAAAATTTTTATTAGATATTGTTTTCATTTTTTTTGCTTGTTTTTTCAAAGATTGTAGTGACTCTTCTCATTGTCGTTTAATTTTATTAGAACGTTCAAGTAATATTTTTTCAATAACTTTTTCATTTTTATCTTTCTTCGATAAAATTGTTTTTTCATCGTTTTTTGTAGATCTCAATATCGATTTTTTTCCTAGGTTATGATCAATGTCTATGTCCTCATTGATTTTTTCAGTAGTATTCGTCTCCTCATTCTCATTAGAAATTGTAATTTTAGAGTCTTCAAGAACAAATATAAGGTCATCTTCATTAATGAGTTCTGTTATCACATTTTTCGGTATGCTCGAAGTAGCAAGTCCCATTTTCATAGTACACCCAAACATTGCCTCATAGGGTGATCGTTTTATACCTAATTCAAAAAATAGTTATAATTTATAGCTATTTTATTATATTATATTTTATTTTAAAATTTATATTACAATTGTAGGATTATTTTAATACAAATAATAATTATTCAATGTTATATTATACAAGGGTGTACCACGAAAATCTGTGTTTGTTCGGTTGTATATTTTTAATTTATTTTTGTGTTTATAATAATTACTAAATACTACTTAACCTAAAAATGAATGATATGATTAAATTGATAAAAATACCTTTTAAATATATAACAGAAAAAAAGTTAATAATAATTATAACTAACCTGAATGAAATGCTGAATTTTTCATTACATGAACAAATCGTAAAGATTCAGACCATTTTGCATTGTCATTAGTTTCCATCCAAGTTGCTATCATACTTTCGATGTCTTGATTAGCTCGTTCAATCGATCCTTGAGATTGGCTGTGACGAGCTTTGCCATGAACTATTTTAACTTGAGACCACATTTCACATACACTGGTAACAATTTTATTTACAAATTCTCGCCCGTTATCAGAGTGTAGTATACTAGGAGCTCCAAAGAGAGTGAATATATCTAGAAGTTGATATGCAATTTCTTCTGCACGTTTACACCGTAAAGGCCGTATAATCACAAATTTTGTCAGGTGATCTTGATACACCATAATGTATTTTTTTTTTTTTTTTTTTTATATATTTAAGTAATTTACAATCTATACAACATTATGTACAATGGGTAAATTTGATAGTTAATGTAATGTAAAATAACAGAATTTAACATTTAAGGGCAGGCACTCAGCAGCACCACCCGACCGAGAACATTTTGATGTCGCTGTTTTTTTTTTTTTTTATTTTAGTAAGTCTCTAGGCCACTGTCTTTTGAGTCTTCTACGTACATTGCCAAGAAGTGAGGTGGAAGAAAGTTGCTTTATTAATGGATTACTGTGAGAGTTTAAGTTGAAGTGAAATTTAGAGTAATGTGCTTTTGCTAATTAATTAAGTGTAGGAATTTTTAGGTCTTTGTGAAGATTATTGTTTGTGAAATACCAAGGAGAGGATGTTATTAATCGTAGGCAGATAGATTGAAAAGCTTGAAGCGTGTTGGTGTTAGAGGGCTTTGCAGAGCCCCATAACTGTATACCATATGTCCAAACTGGTCGAATTATTGATTTGTATATAGTAAGTTTATTGGAAAGGGAAAGTTTGGATTTTAAGAGTGGTCTAAGGATATGAAGTCTAGAGTTAACAGTTTTGCGTTTAAGTTTGATGTGTGGGCTCCAGGTTAAGCGTTTGTCGAGAGTTAGCCCAAGGTATTTGACTTCGTTTGCCTTAAGAATTGTTATATTGTTTAACGTGACAGGTGGAGAATCGAGATTACGTAGTGAAAAAGTTACTTGAACAGATTTAGTTTCGTTTATTTTGATTTTCCATCTGTTTCCTCACAAGCTGATCATATTTAAATGGTTTTGGATCATTTCACTGGCTGTGGCGTGGCTTTCGTGGGAGGCGGTTATTAGCGTGTCATCATAATGTATTTAAAACCATTATCTGGGTTTGATTGCATATCAATTAAATCAATTTGACATCGAGAATTCATTTCATTGTCCAATATCGGTTTAACAACGAGTCCTTTTTTGGTATACTATGCTTTTTCTGGCATGTTTCACACATTTCCAAGTACATATTTATAGCTTCAACTTTAATATTTTTGAATTTTTTTTTTTAGCATATGATTTATTCGATCCCTACCACCATGTCCTGTTTCAATATGAGCTGCGTGTATAATATCAAAAAGTTCTTCATTACATACGTATTATCGAATATCTTCAGATCCACTTTCCACTGGAAAAATAAGTTTGTCTTCATTCCCAATACAAAGAACATCAAAACGTTTTAATCTCCGATAGTGAATTGATTTTTTGACAGCGATTATTTTTACGTTCTTCACTTCTTGTAAATACGTATTGTACATTTCACGTGTTAAATAAAAAGTATTACTAGAATCTTTTTTTTTAATTATCGGATTTAAAACGTCATAAAACCTTTCTATATTAGCCATATTTAAGTCAAATTAACAATGAAAATAAATATAATTAAAAATTACATTAATTAAACACAATTCAATATAAATATTACGCGCACAAGGCACAACACATATTACACTGTTCTACAAATGGGTCCATCTATCACGTAAAATCCAAACAGACTGAACATGTACCTAATAAAACCATATCTAAGCGATAACGTATCCGTTAGTAAATTATTAGATAATTATTAATATCTACACATTGCAGTCGTAAATTTATCTTCGCAAAATAATTGTTATTAATCGTTGCGAGCAAATATGTTTGAAGTGTGATTTCCAGAAAAAATGTACAACATAACACGTTGGCTGCCATATGGCCGCCGGCGACCCAAACGATTTTATTTATTGTGAAGCCAATTGGGTAGCCGGCGACCCAAACCGAATTATTTTTCAGGGGCCGCTTGGGTCGCCAAATGCGACATTATCTTAAATGGACTTTATTTTAATACGGCATTTTTATTAATTATAATAATATATAATTATAATTTTTACGCAGCTTAAATGTTATGTGTCGTGCATTGATCAGCTTTTACTAAGTCAATTTGTATATCCTAGGATGAACACAACGTGTTTAGTAAAAGCCCGAATAAAATTTAGAATTTCAGCATTTACTGAGTACAAACAGTAAAACCTAGGTTTACCTAGTGATCGGGCATTTACGGTAGTATATATATATATTTTTTTTTAATATATGTCATAGTAATTTTATACTACTACTTGATTTTCTTCACTGGCGAAGTTTACATGAACTCAATTTTATCTGATTTTTTTCTGTGGCGGAGTTTACATGCACCCGGAACCACATATAGTATTGCTAAAGTTGTCGGGTAACCACATTTATTAGTTATTATTGATATTTATTAATAGGTATGATATACATACCCAATAAATGTATATACATTTTGTAAATTATAAAACATTATAACATAAATAAGTTAACTAAATTAAATTTAGAAAATGCACTGGTAACTGTTTTGATTACCAAAACTTATATCTGTATTTTGTATATTGTAAATTTCATAAATCCAAAGAAAAATACATTTTTTGTTTTAAATTGTACCTTGAACATGTTTTTATATTGAAACAAATAAGTTTTTAATCCATTTAAAAAATATTTAAAAATATGCTGTCTACCACGCATGTTTATATAAAAATATGCATTAATGTATTATAATATATAGGTAAATTAAGGTATTGCATCAATAGTAATGGTATATATCAATAGGTATGTATAAAAAACTAAAATTTTCCTTTCCTTCTTTTCTTATTTCTTTGTGAGCATAGAATTTAGTTTACGAGCCACAGTAAATACAAGGAGTGTCCATTTCAATAAGTCCTCTTTCCTTTAAAAAAGCTATAGTATTTTCATACGATTGAACAATTGAATGTTTGAGTAACATAATACTTAAAGTGTTTTAATTGTAGAATAATCTATCACGTATAACAGCACGAACTGAACCTGATATTCTCATACGTTTACGATTACAGTCATAATTATTGCTAGACTTTATTATTGAAATTAAATCGTAAAAATAATACTTAATCGCCGTCGAATCAATAGGAATGATCTAAAATATATATATATATATATAGATGTTCCCCTGTTGGTCGGGGCTAGAATAGACCATCGGTTGTTCCTGCCTGTCGTAAGAAGCGACTAAAAGGGACTTGTAGTAGGGCAGCAGCTACTACAATATTGGGTGTAGGTGCAGGTAACCACAATGGTAGAAATAGCTACACACCAAACAGCAGCCAGCAGATACGGGAACTGTATAACTGGTGGCTGCACTGCGATACGGAAGGCAAGGGGAGACCACCGTATAAATTATCCCAAGAAATAGCAATAACATGACATCTTCTAAAGTGAAATATTCCGGAGGTAAAATAGTCCCCCGTTCGGATCTCCGGGTGGGGACTACTGAAGAAGGAGGAAATGTTAAGAGTTGGAGAAGAATAGCTACTTGGAACGTTAGAACTATGTTGCAATGCGGGAAATTAGAAAACTTGAAAATAGAAATGGCAAGAATGAAGATAGATATCCTTGGCCTGTCAGAAATGAGATGGCCAAGAGCTGGAGATCTATGGAGTAGAGAATATAGGTTGATACATACAGGAACAGCGGATAATAACCCAGGATTTGGAGGGGTAGGCATAATAATGAGTAAGGCTATTGGGAAAAAAGTTAAAGGATTTGTACAGTACAACGAACGAATAATATTAGTCAAAATCGAAACGAAACCTAAGGATACAATCATAGTCCAAGCCTACATGCCTACTTCTAATAGCAGTGAGAGGGAATTAGAAGAAGTCTATGAAGGAATAGAAAAAGTTATTGAAAAAGTTAAAGGAGATGAAAATCTTATCATTATGGGTGATTGGAACGCTGTTGTAGGAGAAGAAAGCCTAGGGGACATAATAGGAAATTATGGCCTAGGAAACCGAAATGAAAGAGGAGACAGATTAGATTAGATAGATTTCTGCTCAAAACACGAGTTATTAATAACGAATACCTACTTCAAACACCATCTAAGAAGAAGGTATACATGGAAAATGCCGGGAGACATAGGCAGATACCAAATTGATTATATTATGGTCAAGAAGAGATTTAGAAACCAAGTAAAAGACTGCAGAAGCTACCCAGGAGCAGACATAGATAGTGACCATAACTTGTTAATGATGAAAAGTAACCTAAAGTTCAAGAAAATAGTATCGAGGAAAATCAATGATCGATGGCATATAAATAAATTAGAAGAAGAAAAAATAAATGATAAGTTTAAAGAACTTACAAACGACATAAGTATAAATGAGAGAACCGATATACACAATAGGTGGGGCATTATAAAGAGCACAATGACAGAAGCAGCATCAAAGACTCTGAAAGACAATAAAAGGACAGTACCCAAGAAAGAATGGATAACAACAGAGATAACAAGTATGATAGAAGAAAGAAGAAAGCTTAAGATTGGAACTACTTTTGAAAGTCAGCGCAAATATAGAGAACTAAGAAATCTCATAATACGAAAATCAAAAGAAGCAAAGGAAACATTTTTTGAAGAAAAATGCAAAGAAATAGAGGTACAAATGAGAAATGGTAGTAGAGATTCAGCGTATAAATCAGTTAAAAATTTCTTTAACGATTATAAAACAAATAGGGGGACAATAGAGGATAAAAACGGAGTAATTATTTACGAGGACATACAGAGAGGGGACGTATGGAAGAAATATCTTGAACAGCTATATGAGGGGCCAGAACTCACAGGACAAGAAATAGAGCATGAAGAAGTAATGGACAATAGATCAAATTATAGTGTATTGAGGGAAGAATTTGATAAAGCACTTAGAGATCTAAAAAAGAAGAAGGCAGCAGGAATTGACGAAATCCAAGCAGAACTTTGGAAAGAATCTGGCGAAAGCATGCGTAATGAGCTTTTTAAACTCATAAAGGAAATATTTGTCTCAGGAGAACTTCCTCTAGACTTTACAAAGTGTAAGATCATTCCTATTCCGAAAAAAGCAACCGCAAACAAATGTGATCAGTATCGGACAATTAGCTTGCTGACACATGTGTCAAAAATACTGACAATAATCATGTCAAGAAGAATGGAATATAAGATTGAAGCCATATTGTCAGAAGACCAGTTCGGGTTCAGAAAAAACATGGGCACGAGGGAAGCAATATTGGCTTTAAGAATCATTATCGAGAAAAGAATTAGAAAAGATAAGCCTACATACATAGCTTTTGTTGATATAGAAAAAGCTTTTGACAATGTAAACTGGGCAATAATGTTCAAGGTACTCAAAAGAGCGGGTATAGAATACACTGAAAGGAGACTACTCTTTAAACTATACCAGAAGGAAACAGCTGTTATACGATTTGGTGAAACTGAGGAAGAAGCACGCATAAGAAAAGGAGTAAGGCAGGGTTGTAATCTCTCACCTAGCATATTCAATGCATACATCCAAGAGGCAATTGACATAATACGAGAGAAAATACAATTGGGTATAAAGATAAATGGCAGGAAAATCGATATGTTACGGTTTGCAGATGATACAGCAGTCATAGCGGAAAATGAAGAAGAATTACAAAGGATGCTGAGATGTATGGAAGAAACTCTGATAAATGAACTGAGCATGAAAATAAATACGCAAAAGACCAAAGTTCTAGTATGCAGCAGAAACAATAATATTACGACAAGAATACATCTGCAAAATAATCAAGAAATTAAACAAGTAGAAGAGTTCTCATACTTGGGAAGCATAGTAAGTAAAGATGGCAGAAGTAAAAAAGAAATAGCTACGCGAATATGTCAAGCTAAAATAGCATTTAACAAAAAAAGAGGACTTTTTACTTCAAAAAGTATTAGCGTTCGCACCAGAATAAATCTTCTGATGACATACGTATGGAGTATAATGCTGTATGGCAGTGAAACGTGGACGATTGCCAAAGCAGAGCGGAGTAGGATAGAAGCTTTCGAGATGTGGTGTTTCAGAAGAATGCTCAAAATAAGTTGGACGGACATGGTATCAAACAAGGAAGTATTAAAAAGAATGTCCGTGAGAAGAACTTTATGGAGTAATATCAAGAAAAGGAGAAATGAATGGATCGGACATGTATTAAGATATGGTGGGTTACTAGGACTAATCATAGAAGGCTGCGTGGAAGGAAAAAACGCTAGGGGAAGACCACGAATGGAATATATGCAACAAATAATAGAGGACCAAGGGTGTACTTCTTATAAAGAGACAAAGAGGAAGGCAAGTAACAGAGAAGAGTGGAGAATTGCTACAAACCAATCTCAGGATTGAATACTGAAAAAGAAGAAAGAATATAGATGTGTGGCAGATGACAGGTTTGCGGTCAGGGGCGCAATTTAAATGAAAAAACTGAGGGTGCTGAAGCCCTTCTATCTTTTTCGCGTTCCTTAATGGTTATAGACACCCGCAACCCATACAATTCAACAGTTACTAAAATATTTGAAAAATATGTGAATATTTCTAAATTTAAATCGTCATACATATTTAAATTGGCCAGAATAAGTCCTTCAAGTGGCATAACATCAATAAGCCTTTGATTAAAACGAGCATCCATTGATTCTATTAAATAGTCAAGATACATTATACATATAAACACGGCCCATGGGAGGGCTATAGCCCCCTTAGCCCCCCTTTGGCTACGCCACTACCAGTACTGTATTCTTAAGAATTTATGCTGTTGAGTTCTGTTTCATAGTAATTGCATTAAGTAATTTATAGAATTAAATGTTTAGGTACATTATGCAGTTTTGTTGAATAACTAGCAAACAATAATATTAATTTATATATTAATATTTTTAAATCAATGAAACTACTTAGTCTTTTACCAAGAGAAATTATTAATTTTCAAATTCATTATTACATTTCAATACAAACTCATTTTATATTTCGACAACTAAAAAATAAATATGGTTCTCCACAGGTAGGCAATATAAAGCATCATCATTAATACATTTATAAGGAAATATTTTTCATCATAGCTTGATATACTACCTTGATAAAAGTAGAGTTCTAATAAATTGTTATATGAAGGGTACAGGAGAAGAATAGTAGTAGTCCATTTTGTACATTTTTCAAGAGAGTAAAAACAATCACATGGACTACAATCATTCTTCACCTGTATACCTACTTGTTAATTATCGTTAATATTTGTGAAATGAGATCTATTTTCCCAGAAACAATTTCAACACTCAATATACTACTCCCAATTTGCTTTTGAATCAAACCATAAATACAAAATGAAAAAAAAAAAAAGTACTACTAATTTCTCCTGTACCCTTCATATATTTTCTGAATAATTATCACTTTATAATATCAACTGATTAGAAATAGAAAGACAAATTTTATGATTTTGACAAAAAAAATCAGTTGATATTCAATCGCCTTAAATCAGACATGCCTGATGCAATTTGCCAACACAATTGGTAATACTACTGTCATATTGGTTCTTTTCATATTGTCATTACTTTTTGTAGTGTAGTTGAGTTTGTTGAACGTGTAATTCAAAGTGTTTACAATTCATTTTTATTTCTTTATTTTATTATAATTTTTGTAATAAATTATACAGCGTAAAGAATGGTAATCGCGATAATCAATAAGTATCATTATACCATCTTACACAAAGATATTGTATTTAATATATAAAAAATAATTTGAGTACAATTAAATATATTATAATTTAATTAAATACATTCCAATTATAAATTTTATAGATTTTAAGTATAAAAATTAAAAAATGTGAATAATAAAATAATTTATATTTATAACTAGCCAACTTCAATAAAAATACAAATTTTAATTGATAGTAAAAATAAATGTCAGAAGTTTAAAAAGAATATAAGTATTGTTTGATTAGAAGATACTTGTATTATAATTTCTAAAGCCAACAAAAAAGCACCAATAGATAATTTAATTTTTAAATTTTATTATTTTAAATTCTTGGATATCATTGGATTTTCAAATTTTCAATTTCTGGTGAAGATGTTTGAGATGCTCTTTTTTTAGGCACAATACCATTTACTTTCATATAATCCATAAACTGTTTAGGTACTTCTGCCAATACATCTTTTGCTAATTGCAAATTGGCTACGCTAGGATCAAGGTCATGATAGTTATTAAATGCAACAAACTGCACAATATCTCTCGATGCTCTAACTCCATTCATTTTCAGTCCACCTTTATCAGCATCCAATTCTTCCATTGCATCAAATTCTGCATTGCCAATACCAACAATAATAATAGAAACTGGCAATGTTGATGCATTTATAATTGCCTAAAAAATAAAAAGGAATAATAATACCTTCTATGTTATTTTAAAATGTATTTAAAATTATAAGAATAGTTTAACACCTTCTTTCTTGAAAGTAGTAAATTTCATTAGTTAAATATTGAAATTTCAAAGTTAACAAACAAAAAAAAAATGCTATTTTTAGAATGAACTGCTTTAAATACTAAAGAACTTATATCTACATGTGAATATCTACAGAGTTAGTAAATACTTAAGTATTTTATAAACTTTAAAAAATACATTTAGTCAAAATAAATATACTTATTATTAAATAATAAGTATATGTACTTTTTAATATTTAAAATGGAATGGATTTCATACATTTTATGAAACCCATTTAAAAAATATTTTTCATGCCTAGTACAAAATACATTTATAATACTCCATTAAAATAATAAATAAATAAATGTTTATATATATAAAATATATGAAAAGCAGAATTCTAATTAATTTAAATATCATACATAGATGATAAATTATTTTTAAATTAATCACAGTATTATAAATTCTACACTAATTTTTCGAAAAATTAAAAATATTAAAATTATAAATATTTTTTATGAAAATTAAATGTATTAAGATAATATATATTTAATATTAAAATACCTCAACAACAATACCTGAATAGTTTCTGGCATATCAGTAATAACTCCATCAGTTAGTATAAGTAAAATAAAATAACCACTTCCATCTCTTCGATTTTTTGCTATACTAGCCACATGGTTGATTACAGGTGCGAAATTTGTTGGTCCATATAATTGCACTTGATTAATACAACAGCGATAAGCATCTAATACACCTAAATATATTGAAATAGATATTTTAAAATATATTTGTCTATTATATTATAAATTTATAAATATTTATATGAACAATAACATAAAATAACAGATTTTATTAATTTTACCTCTAACTCCGAAACAATGTGGATTTTGAGGATTCATATTGACAAAAAATTCATGAGACACTTGTCCACTAGGTGGAATTTTGGCACCAAAACCTAATACAGGAAATTGCTTATCAAAATCATAGTCTTCTATTATAGATACAACTGCCCATATAGCTTGTTCATAACTATTCATCGAGTTGTTATTGATGAAATGCAAAGAAGATGGATTTGATGGATTACCATTTGATGCTATTAAAAATATAACACAAAATATTTATAAATAAATTAAAATAAAAAATAATTATATCTAAAACTTTAAGAATATTTAAATCAAATAAATTTTATTCTAGAATTATAAAAATTATTAACAGGTAAACAATAATTTTTAACATCAAGAGCATGAAGATAATTAGCAATTTTACCTGTAAAATCAATAGCTACAGTACAAAATATCTCTGTTCCTCCTTGGACATAATCTAAAAATGTATAAGTTGATTGTATTTTTATATATTCTACACGAATTTCTCCAGAATCTATATAATCCTTTTTTTTCTCTTGAAAATATTTTTCAACAAATTGTTAAAATATTAAACTAATAAATAATTTTAAGAATTTACTTTTTTTTTCCCATTAATACATTTAAAGATGGCATTAGTATCAGCAAGACCTTTAAGAGTGGTATGAAATTCACCAATAAGGCTATGATCCCCACTTGAATTCCAATCATAACAAATTATTTTTATATCACGGTCATAATCTCCATTGCAAAATGTTCGGACAGAAACATTAAATTTCTTCCATCGAGGATTAAGTGTGTCCTTAATTACCTACAAAAATATACTGAATAATAAATTTTACTAGAAAATATAATTAAAAATAGTTACTTACATCCGTTTTATAAACTAATGTGTAATTACCAGTGTCTGTAAGTTTATAAATTTCCAAAAAAGGGTCAGATTTACCAAAAAAATCTTTTTTATCCAATTTAAATCCACTCAATTCTAATATTATTTCATCTCTATCTGTGCCTAATTCTTCTGCTGTTATCACTAAATAACTACTTTTTAAATTACCATCACGATCCATCAACTGTAACTTGTTCTAAAAATAATAAAAATGATTTACTACCTAACCAATAGTTATTGTGAATAATAAAGCAAAATATCTTACACGTTTGTTTGCAACAAGTTGTCCCAAATTAGTCGTAAAAGTTCCAAGAAAATCATGTGATGATAAATCTTTTTCTTTCGAGTCTGTATCATAAATTTCAAACAATAGTGGTTGTTTTTCTTCAAATATGTAGCTAATCAACACTTTGGAAACAAAATTTGGATTTTGATTATTTTTAACAGTTTCAGTACGGTGAAATTCAATCCATTTTTTTTGTCCAAATGGCTGTACATAAGTTACACACATAGGATCCGATTTGGATAAAACATCTGTACCAGATAGACCCCTAAAAATATAATAGATAAATTATAAATTCATTATGAAACTGTATTGGGAATTGGGAATTTTCTCTATTTTTCACATGAGCTATAAAAAAATTAAGAAATTTTCTAATTCCAATGTACTAATCCATCTATAAATGAAATAAGGACTTTAAAAACATAAAAATTTGTTATTTAGCTTTTTTGATATTTTCTCAAATATTTAATTTAATCTATATAATCCATACTAAAGACAAGAAAAAATAGAATAAAGAACAAATATGTAAGAGGTAGTATTGGTGTATACTCGACAAGACGAGAGAAAATAGATTGAAAAAGATTGGGTATGTGATGAGGTGAGAGGAAACAAAAGCAGTAAGAGTGATTATTAAAATAAACGTTGAAGGGAGAAGAGGAAAAAGAAGATGAAAAAGAGATGGTTGGATTCGATTAAAAATGATATGAGGGCCATTGGTGTGTGCACAGGAGATTTAAAATATCAAAACGAGTAGAGGTCTAGAACTAGGGTGGCCAACCTCAAATAGTTGGGAAAAAAGCAAAGGAGAAGATGATCTATATATTAATATATGATTATAAGCAGGGTTTGGGACTTATAGCACTTAAAATCATTAAAATAGGTGCTTAAAAACATCATTATAAGCACTAAAATAAGCGTTTAACAAAATTTAAAATTCTAACTAAAAAATCAAAAAAAGTCAAAAAAAATCTTTACTTTCAAGACTTTAAGGATTTTGTGGATTTTCTAAGTGATTGTTTTGAAAAATAAAATATAAACTGTTCTCTCTGTTCTTGATCATTCTAATGTTTGACACTCAGTTTTATTTTCAAAGTTGGAACTCTCCTACAACCACTACGTGACAACTTAGATAAAAATTAATTTTAATTTTAATTCTATCAAAAACGACTATGCAGGAGAAAACTATAAAAACATAAAAAAAAACTGGAAATAAGCATTTTTTTTAAAAATTGCTGAGAAAACCAATAAAAAGCACTTTCAAATTTCTTAATTGTACGTGTTATAACTTGACATACACTTCTATAGCACTCTGCTACATTTAAAGTCAATCCATAAAAATAAGCAAATGCTTTAACTCCCGAGCTCTGATAATAAGTAATGATATGCATTAAGCTTTTAATAGATTGAATTATAACAAAAAGATATACAGTATAACATATACAATAAAAATAAGTATATGTTAAATACAACATTCAAAACTTATATAATATGATATAAGTGTTGAAATAAACAAAAATTATTCAAATAAAATTGATTTAAATTATATAAATTCAATTTTTGTTCAATATAGGTACATAAAAAATGATTAATAAAATTAGTTTTATAAAAATAATTTCATTATTTTAGAAAAATGATTGGTTGATTTTTTTTAAAAAATTTTCAAATAAGTTTTCATAAAAAAAGTAAACATGAACTTATCTTTCGCCATTTCAAAAAAATAAACTCGAACTATTTTAGAAATATAAATTAAAATTTTTTTTACCTGCATGCCAAAGATAATTCAATATCTACCGACGGAGATACAGCTGATCCTGGAGTGAAAGCCATTGAAAAAAAAATTTTCTTCTACTTTTGATTTATGAGCTGTAAAAATATTTTATTAAATTATATTAAACATAGGTACACGTTTTTATATTTTATTCCTACATATGAATTACGATTGTAGATAGGTCCTATCTATAATTGTGGTATGAATTGATAACAAATTGTTATCAAAGTCCAAAAATTCAATTTCTTGTTAGACGTTACCACTTTCTAAAATTTAAGAAATTTAGTTATACATTAATGATTTATAAAATAAAAATGTATTATTTCCCTATGTTTATATATTCCATTACGTCTCCTTCTCCTTCGCATTTATCCTAACTATTTGGGGTCTACCACCTAGAACTAAACCTCCACTCGTCTCAATTTTCTTATAGATAATAGAATAACTCATATTATAATTATAATCACTTTATTATCCATATATTGTTTTCTATATTTCCTATGCACCAAGAGCCTTTATATCATTCTCAATCGTATCCAACCATCTCTTTTTTTGGTCTTCCTCTTTCTCCTTTCCTATGAGCGTTCATTTTTAAATCACTCTTACTGCTTTTGTTTCCTCTCATCTCATCACATCCCAAACTATCTCAGTCTATTTTTTTTCATCTTATCTAGTATTGACACACACCAAACTACCCCTCACATATTCGTTCCCTATTCTATCTTCTCTTGTCACTTCACTCACCCATCTAAGTATTCTCATTTTTGCAACATTCACTATTCTGGTTAACAGGCCACCCAATACTCCGAACCAGATATCTTAGTTTCACTACACTCCAGTAAAATTTACTTTTCAGCAAAATTTGAATTCTTTTATCACAAGTCATCTTTCCATTTTATCCAATGTTTTACATCCACGCGAAAGCCCCCGTTCTTTTGTATAAATTATCCTAAATGTTTTAAGTTCTCGACTTCACCTATCACATCACCAATTATTGTCTTTGTTCTCCTCATACCCTCAACTTTTTGGTAACTTTCTTCAGTCATACTCTATATACTCTGTTTTATTTCTACTAATTCCCAATTCCTTTCCTTCAAGAACTAACCTCCACTTATCCAACCTAATATTAACTTCTTCTAAATTCTTTCCTACCAAAACTATATATATATATAGTTGCATAAAACGATATTATTTTGAATTATATTTTACCAATTATTTATTTCATCCTTTTTTAATAATTAGAAGTTAATTTTCCATTATTTTTATTTTTGTTCTATTTTTTTCTCATACTTTAAAATTCAAAGCGAAAAAACAGGTATAACTCAAATTCGGAACAGTATAGCAGTTTAAACTGCATCAATTTGTCAAAGCCTTCTACAATAATATCTTGTTCCATACTAATTGAAGATCCATCATAATTTCGGAAACATAAATGTTCTATTTTTTTAATAATTTTTTGTTGCTAAAGAACATGTACGACAATATTTATTTCTCACACCTACATAGATAGGCTTTTTGGTCTCTGCACCAATAATTAATCCTTATAAAATTCAAAAAAAAAGTAATTAACTGTAAGAAATTAAAAAAAAATTAACGAAATTGGATATCCGCCGTCATATTGACATGCAGATGGCAGCACACAACGACAATATAAATTAAAAATTACAAAATAAAACATGTCTACGCAAAATTACGATTACTCGTTTCCTATTGATTTAAGAGATAAAATTCCTATTTTAAAATCTAAAGTAGATCCGTTTTTTAATTAACATAGTATTTTGTATACAATATTCTAACATTCAAAAATATTTTTTTTTACTTTTTTAAACAATAGTAACTTTTTATATATACGTTATTAAAAAAAAAGGATATGTCATTTTCTCCAAAATGTTATTAATTTAAGATCTTATAAAATGTGTTTTTGCTATTAAACTACTAGGAAACGAATAATCGTAATTTTGCGTAGGCATGTTTTTACACTAAAAATCGGGGGGTATCACGTCCTCTTAAACAAATATAAATAATACAAGTTTCTACTATTAATTTTGAATACGTTTAAATTTCATAGTACATCTATATCTATATTATTTATTATAAAGAGGTAAAGTCTGTGAGGTTGTAGGGGGTAATCTTTGGATCTACTGAACCGATTTTTAATATTATTTTACTAATAGAAAGCTACATTATTTGTGAGTGTCATAGTGTCTATATATTAACCCGAAAAATAAAAATAACTTTTCTTAGTAATCGGATTTACACCATGTCATAATCTATTGAGTGACATTTCTATTAAACGATTTTACAACACATCAATCTATTTAGAAATAAATTGCTTTATCAATAACGAAATTTTATATATTTATATTTTGTTGTCAGGAATGCAAATATTAACTGGTCCAGCCTAGCAAAATATGTATTTTTTTATTGTATCAGTTTAAAGTTGCAGTGGCATAGAGGAATTGTAAAGAATATAGAAGTGAATAATTTATTAATGACCTACCCCACCAATCGATTCAATGTTAGTATTCACTATACACCTTAAATTTTAAGGTTCATACAAATTTCACTGCTGTCTTCCAATAAACCTAATAATTTACCAATAAGTGACCAAGTCACATTCCACTATCAATCCCCTCTGGATTCTAGAAGCAATTGCTTCTGAAAATCATGATTCGCAACACCACTGTACAATGGTACTATAGTACCAGAAAGATGCAGTTTGTTATCTCATCTCAAACATCAGATTTCAACTATATACCATTTAAATATTATTAACATATGATTGATAAGTTTTGTATACACATTGATTTTGTTTAAAATATTATGCATAAGAAATAAAAGTATTGTTAATGGGTTATGATTTTTTATAGAAGTAACAAACCAAGAAATCTTGTATTTGATATTTATTTATTTATGTATTATAAACAGGAAATGACCCTATTGTGAAAACAGTAAATATGGTAGCTAATTATTAACCATCAAGCCGTAGAATGACATCTTATTTTCTTTATTTTCCAGGCTATATAAAAAAATTTTACACTTTCTTTGTAAATCAAAAAATCAAATAACAACACAAATATGAAAAGTTATAAAATAAAATCATTTTTTGATGTTTGTATATAATATATGTATCACATAGATTACCGGTTCTTAACCTGTGATCTGCTGCCCTCTAGGTATTTAAGATATTGATGTTGGGGGTTCGTGGCAGCCCTAACACATAACATATATCAATACGTGACATGAGTCCATTATTACAATATTGTTGGATGATTATTATTTTTTTTTTTATATATTTTTTATTAAATAATAGATAAATTTTATCTTTATACGGTGTTCAAAAACTTGTGTTTCAATCATCGTATTAAGCTAAAAAAAAATAAAATTTTAAGAATATTAAAAAAAAAATTAATTAAAAATTAAATTAATAACAATAATTACAAATATGTGTATATATGTTTTGTTTTGTCTACTAATGTAATTTATTATATAATATAATTAAAATTTTTGTTTTAATAACATGAAATGTTTTGTAAAAAAATGTATTGAAAAAAAAATTGGTAAGGTCCACAATTTCTAAAAATCTTTCATCAGGGGTCCATGATCGAAAAAAGGTTAAGAACCACTGAAATAAATAAACCATATTTAATGATTTTAAATGTAAATTGTAATACTCAATGAATATAGGCAGGATAAATCTGATTTATGATTGATATACTTTACAAACCATAAAAAATAAATATTGAACTGATTATTAAATAATTTGAAAAATCTATTTAAAAATAATAAACTTGTAGCTTATATTATAGTTACTGTGAATTTACATTAATTAATTTAATAAGTTATTTTGAAACATAACATTTATTCATGTTTACACAGTGTAAAATGAAAAGCAAAATTAGTATAAAGTATAAACCAAAATAAAAATTTAATTAATATTATACTAATTATATGTCATATAACGTGGAGTAGAAGAGAACTTAGCATATGATTTGATAACTTTATTTACAGCTTCTAGGAAATCCTTTTCAGTTGCTACTTTTCTACGAGCTCTGATAGCAAACATACCAGCCTCAGTACATACAGACCTTATTTCAGCTCCTAAAAACACATAAAAATGAAATTTTTGTTTTATGTCAAATAAACTAAATTAATTTCATCTATATTCAATATAACCTTAATAATTTTTCATGGAGTTATAAGCTGTAAATAAATTATTATTTTAATTTGAAATATTTTTTAATATGTAAATTGTATAACATTATAATGGAATTTTTAATAAAAATTAATTATGCCGACCAATAAGTAATTAAAATGCACAAAAAAGAGAAATAAAAGTAGCATAAGATAAAACCACATACAGTAGAACCCGTCTTGTCCAACACTGGTTGATTCGATCTAGTAGTATTATCAATATGAATACTTAAAATATATGTGCATTTGAATTTATCAATTTATAGTATGTAGCTAATTAAGATATATTTATAAAATTAATTGCCAGCTTACTATTTATCTATTTTTTATTTATTTTATTATTTATTTATTTAATTTAATATATGTATGTAATTTAAAATAATATTTAAAATAATTTAAATAATTTGATAACATTTTTTCTTCAAATGTTTTTATATTTTGATATCTGACCTTTTTCATGTTCCGACCACAACCCTAGTCCTGAAGGTGATGGATTAAAAGGGTTCTACTGTAATGAAAAAATATCTAATGATGAAAATGTCATACCAATAAATATACAACTGTGGTAAATATAGATAGATTAATCAGTATCATATGTATACTATTTTAAAAATTGCAAGATGGACGGTAAAAGCAGCAAAAAATTTGTGAAATAATGATGACCAATGAAAAATATTAATATATCAAATGTGAAATGAAAAACATTACCAGTGCTATTTGGACAAAGTCTAGCCAATAATTCAAAACGAATATCACGTTCAACACTCATAGCTCTAGCATGTATATTGAAAATATGAGTACGCCCTTCTAAATCAGGTAACCCAAATTCAACTTTTCTATCAAGACGTCCAGGTCGCATCAATGCTGGATCTAATGTATCAGGTCTATTTGTTGCCATCAAAACTTTGATGTTTCCTCTAGGATCAAATCCATCCAATTGATTAATAAGCTCCAACATAGTTCGTTGAACTTCATTATCACCACCAGCACCATCATCAAAACGAGCACCACCAATCGCATCAATTTCATCAAAGAATATTAAACATGCTTTCTTACTACGTGCCATCTCAAATAGTTCTCGTACCATACGTGCACCCTACAAATGTACAAATAATTTAAATTAAACAGTTCAAATAATAAATAAAAATATGTACATAATATTATAATGCAAAAATTATAAATATTATAATTTTACCTCTCCAACATATTTTTGAACTAATTCAGAACCAATTACTCGAATGAAACAAGCATCTGTACGATTAGCAACTGCTCTTGCACATAAAGTTTTACCGGTTCCAGGTGGTCCAAACAATAACACTCCTTTGGGAGGTTCAATTCCCAAGTTAACAAATTTTTCAGGCTAAATTAGATTTTAAATTAAAAAATTATACCACAATAAAAGATATAAATGGAAAAATACCAACGTGTAATAATGGAGTTTCGACAACTTCTCGTAGTTTATCTATCTGTTCTTTACATCCACCAACATCTGAATAAGTGACATCAGGCTTTTCTTCTACTTGCATCATAGTAACAGTTGGATCAATTTTGGGAGGTAAAGGAATATGTATTTGATACTTATTACGATCCACTCTATATAAAATTAGAATAAAAAAATTTAACATAATTTTAAAAATGCTGAACAATTATTACCCAACACGCATTCCTTCTTCAATGTCAGTTGGTGCAACAGAATCTGCGAGATCAACTACAAATTTTGCGAACTGTTTTACATTAATTATATACTTTGGATCATCTGAATCAGCATTTATTATTTTTGTACACCTTGCCACCTAATGACATTTTTTTTTTTTACAAATTTTCATTATTATTATTTTTTTTTTTTTTAATAAGAGTAATGAAAATAATATTAACCTGTAATGGTTGTTCATTTTGAAGAGTTTGTTTGTCGGCAGTTAAATCCCAAAATGCAGGAGGAGCTAACCCAGTATCTGATTCTTTGATTCCAGTTAATTCATTTATATGTTTTATGATACCTTGGATATCATCCTCTACATTTTTCACATTAATTGTCCATTGACCTTGGCCCTGTAAATATAAGAATTAAGTTTTATCAATAAATAATGTTAGTACAAATGAAATTTCTTATTCGATAAAATACTTTTAATAACTTACATAAGATTTTAGTAATGCAATATCTTCTTCATCCAATGCTGAAATCATAATATACATTTAAACAACTTAGACCAAAGAAAATGTTAAACACAAAGAAGTTATTATATTTAAAAATTCATAATTTAAAAGAAATTCAAATTCTCAAGAAATTATACTAATTACAAAATCTTAATGACTATAACTTTCTAATGTTCCCATAAGCTTTAGAATTGTCCAGAATTCATTGTTTGTTCAAATATAATTTTTCTAATATCTAAAAAGTTGGAAACATTAGAATACCAAAACGTTCTATGACTTTAGATAAATGCATACTTATTATCAAAATATAATTTACAGACATTGGTAGAAATTAAATATTTGAATAATAAATAATTACTTATAAATAAATTGAAACGTCAATTAGAATGACAATTATTAAGATAAATAATATAATATATAACTTACATTTAATTTCCTTCTCTTCTTTTTCTGGTTCATCTTTTTTTGTCTTTCTCATTTCATCACCCAAATAATCAGGCATCTTGGAAGATTAATCTAACCGATCGAAAGACAGAATTCAATAACTAGTCGAGTACCTATTCAATTGATCTAGAGACAAAAGTTTAGTCGATGGATCAAAGAATTGACACACAGAATAATGATAAAGCTGTTTTCATTTTAAATGTAACTAAAATTATTTTAGGTTAATAATGGCTTCTCAAAATATATCTGCAAGAGCGCGATCTTTAAAATTAGTTCAGAACTATGCAAAACATGATTATGTTTTTTTTTATTGATAATAAAAACACTTATAGTATATATTTTGTACAATAATTATTTATTTATTGGTAATTATTTTCCGCAATTAGCAATTGTTTACATTCTTCTTCGACCCACCTTTTGATTATTACATTTTAGAACTCAATCCATCGGTCTATTTAGGAATTAAGATTTATTTTTCGGGTATTTTCTTGCTCGTAATCTATTACTTTTGTTGTATTTTTTTATTTTGCAATCACATAACGGTACCTCACCTTAGTGAGGCTAGTTTGGGTGAACACAAACACAACCTGATACGTTCATATTGAAGCGTACGTAAATAACAACCACTTGCGTTTCTATGTTCACGGGTAACTTGAAAATTGCATTTATTGTTTATTTCACCCTATCAGTTTAAATGTAAATACATTAAATTATCCATTTATTAAATTTTCTCATCTAATATATTGAACATGATTCTATTCTCGTGACATTGCCTTTCCATGCTATTGCAATGCTGCGGTTTTTGAGTAGAAAGCGGGGTCGGAATGATCCTAAAGCACGAAATATCAAAGCCGGGGCTGAACGGTTAAACCCTCCCAATAAGCATTGTATGCAATGTAGGGTTATGCTTTTAGATGGAACAGACCTATGCATTGAACTATCTGTAAGTAAATTATATAATATTTATATTTAACATTTTTTTTTTTGATAAATTTAAATAAATTTATTGTAAAAATTCCATGTTGAGTTCCTGCAACCTACCAAAACAGTTGTAAAAAGTAATCTGTTTAAGTATATTTTAAATAAAATTCAATAGGTTTAAAGTAAATAAACTTTGATATTTCACTGTACAATTTAAATATAAATATTCTGTCATTTAATAAAGCTTATTTACCTGTCTTCCACTAGGAAAATATATATTGTTGAATTTCTTATGTACATACATTTTACCTTATACATTTATAAATATAACTACTTTTTTGATAAATCCAAACAGTATAACTATAAATAATATACCTAACTAAACTATCTATCAATTATAACTTTATCATTTCAAATACAGGAATTTGAAGTTATATTTATTTAAATTATATAATATTTTTTTGTTTTTTTCTTTATTAGTTCTTAGAAATATTTTAATTTCTTTTAATTTCTATGCTAAAAAAAAATTTCAATAAGTATAATAATGTTTATCTTCATTTGATGGATTATTTTTTTTTAAATGAAAGATTTTCAATCACTTGTACTAAAATGGTTGATTGTAGTATATTATTATTAATTATTTGGTGTTTCATACATAATATATAATTAAGTCTTAAAATATAATATTCTAATTGTAATAACTTAAGATGCTGAAATATTTTACTTATCATTAAAAATGGGGTGTGCCACATTTACAAAAGTATTGAAAACTACTGCTCTAATTAATAATGTTATAAACAAATACCCAAAATGCAGTGGCTTAATTTATATAAATAAATAAATTATTATTAATTATACTTCTTCAATTATATTATGTTTGTACATCATTAATTTCCTTATATAACAAACTTAAAGTTTTGGAATATAGCTATTAAGATTAAAATATCAGAAATTACAATATTACTTTATTTATAGATGCTCAGCCTAATGTTTTTTATTTTGTTAAAAGTGATTAATTAAATCCTTTGGAATTATATTTAATATTTTATAATCACAACTTGGCTTATTTTTCAGAAAAAAGCTGTTGGTAGTGATTTATATGAACAAGTATTTTATTCATTGGATTTGATTGAAAAAGATTATTTCGGTTTACAGTTTACCGATGCAAATCATGTGCAGGTATATATAATATAAATACTATTATTGATATTTTTTTCTAAAATTAGTATAGTATAAAAGCTAATACTACAATTGAACTAAGTGTTTTTTTTTCTTTTTCGAATTTTATTATTAACATAAATTTCAGATTAATAACAAAAAAATATTAAATAATATATATAGTAAAACGCTGACTATGTAGACTAATTAATGTCAAGAGTGATCTTGATGATTGATCTATGATACATTAAAAGTTATATAATTTTATAAATATAATGTATATATTTATTATTTATAAGTAGAATAATTTAAAATGTGTAATAATAAACAAAGAATTTAATTATAGTATTTAACTGATTTAGCTGAAAGGGAAATAGCTAAATAAGCTAACTAAAAGGATAATTATAAGGAATCATTTTTATCTATACCTGTACATATGTATGTATTTTTATGTGTACATATATATATATTCTTACATAATACTTGAATAATAAAATGGTGGATATTTAATCTATTATTTAGAAATATGATTACGATTTACGAGTTATTAAAAGATCAAATTTTCATTTTCATTTAATTGTCATTTGGATAATTGGGATTCCATTGATTTAAAATTTACTTAAACCAAAAAAATGTATTTTGATTTAAATTAGTTTTATTCACAATTTATTTTAATTCAATTTCATTATATTATCTCAAATTAAATTAAGTTGCAAAGATTAATGTTTTAAATTAAAAAAACACTGATAGAGTAAACATTTTAAGTAGATTTAACAAATTACATTTTGATTAAACATATACTTAGAATACATTGTAAATTAACAGACAATCAGTAAAATATATTAATTAATTAATATAATTTAAATTTTATTGATAATCTGATTTTTATTTTTTTTTTTAATTGACAAATTATTTTGTGTAGATACATGTCTTATATTTTTAACTAAAAATGGAATTGAATTTTTTATTTTCTTTAGCATTGGCTTGATCCTACAAAAGCAATAAAAAAACAAGTTAGAAGTAAGTTGTAATTAATTTATTACTTTAAAACTATAAATAATTTATTATTGTTTTTATATTAGTTGGACCACCATATACATTTCGACTACGTGTAAAATTTTATTCTTCCGAACCAAATATGCTGAGAGAAGAATTAACCCGATATCAGTTTTTTCTTCAACTTAAATTAGATATTCTTGAAGGACGTCTTGAATGTCCTCAAAATACTTGTATTGAATTAGCAGCTTTAGCTCTACAATGTATGATTTATACTACATGTTAAAAATATTACATTTAATTATGTTTCTAGTTCAATATGTTTTAACTTTTTCAGCTGAACTTGGTGATTATGATGAAACTTGTCATACACCTGCTGTTATATCAGAATTTAGATTTGTACCAAATCAAACTGAAGATATGGAAATACAAATAGTAGAAGAGTTCAAAAAATGTAAAAGTTTAACTCCAGCTCAAGCAGAAACTAGTTATTTAAACAAAGTAAAATGGTTAGAAATGTATGGAGTTGATAATCATACTGTTTTAGTAAGTATAATAATATTACTCCTAAATCCTATCAATGTATAATATATAATCAAAATACTTTTTAACAATATTTTTATTCCCATGTATTATATAAATTATTAAAATGTATAAATATATATTTAGGGTAAAGATGGATGTGAATATGCCCTTGGTTTAACACCAACTGGCATTTTAGTTTTTGAAGGTCTTCAAAAAATTGGTCTCTTTTTTTGGTATGATATGATTTATAAATAAAAATATATTAAGACAAGATTCAAATTTGTAATTATTTAAAAATAAATGTTGTTATTTAGGCCAAAAATTGGTAAACTGGATTTCAAAAAGAAAAAATTGACGTTAGTTGTTGTAGAAGATGATGATCAAGGACGTGAGCAAGAGCATACTTTTGTATTCCGGTTACATAATGAAAAAGCATGTAAACATTTATGGAAATGTGCAGTTGAACATCATGCATTTTTTAGACTTAGAGCTCCTGTTAAAGGTCCATCAGCTAGACAAAATTTTTTCAGAATGGGTTCAAGGTTTAGATATAGGTAAATAAATAAAAATTTAGTTTTCTGAATACAAAATTAACCTTTTTTTATTATTCAAATAAGTGGTAAAACTGAGTTCCAAACAACTCAGTTAAATAGAGCAAGAAGAACAGTTCAATTTGAAAGAAGGCCAAGTCAAAGATATGCAAGAAGACAGTCACATGTTCTAAGAGAACGACAAAAGTATGTTAAAATAAATTTATTATTTTTATACATACAATAATACTAATTTTAACATGGTGTTTTATTATTATTTTAGAGATAAAACCGACAAATCTAAATCAACTGATGAGAATGATAAAGTTGAAAAATTAAACATCATGGATAAACCTCCTACTCCAATTTTAGATTCTAAAGATATTCATCTTGAACCTACATCTTCATTGACTTCAAATTCTTCTGGTAAATATTTTTTAGAGTGTAATAAATTCTTTAAATAGTAGTTTATGAATACAAAACATATTATGTTTTTATATCTTTATACTATTATATTACAGATATTGCTGAAGATAGGTTAGACTCATTATTAAAGAGTTTAAACAAAGACACTCCTTTAGTAAATAACAATATAAATGAATCAAATTCAATTGATAAAATAAATAAAATTGATGGTATAGTATTTTTATCGGGCACAATTATATATATACTAAAACGTTAATTTATTTCATTAGATTTTGGCAAAGATCAAAACCATCCCGCATCTCCTTTACCTAACAATCGAACCATTTCATTTAATAATACTCCAAGACCAATTCCTAAAGAACAATTGAAATGCAATATTTTAAAAGGTAATATCATAGAATATATTTATTTTATAATAATATATATTTAACATGTACTAATTTATGATTATTAGATTTTTAATATATATATATATTATATATATATAAAGAATTTTGATTATCTGCCATAATAAGTGAGACTAAAGTAGATCATCAAAAAACTTTATACAGCTTGTATAATATTAATAATTATATTTAACCTTTTAATTTAACTGTAACAATTTATAAAACTTAAAAAATATGACTTGAGTTATATTGAAGTATCATTTTTTTCATCATATTTTTTAAATATTTCTATTATATTTACTTCTTTAATTATGTATAATAATTCAAAATTATTTGGACAAGTTTGAAAATACATTTTTTGTGTAATGGTGGAAATAAATTTTCAAGTTTCCATTGCAGGTTCAAAAATATATTCTGATTAATGGGCTGAATTTAGGTGTCTCACAAGCCAAGGTTTTATTCATAAAACAGTAAATCATCAAATCTTATATGTTGATGAAAATACTAAAGCCTTGAGTTGAGAGATCATGGTTGGACGTAAAAATGAAATTATTGAAGAAAATTTCTCTTCATCATTTGTAGTCTCATTTTGATAACTCTTGCTATCTACTTTACCGTTAAGACAGTCCTGATCTTTTTCTCGCCTTGTTGGAAGACATTCAAAAGGTTTATCAACAATAAAATTAAATATAATTAAAACGATGTATTGTAGAGCCTATGCTGAATTAAAAACTTGTTGTTAGAGCGTGTACTGAAGTGGCACTCAATAATTTAAAACTAATAAAATTACATTTTATATAAGTATATACATACAAATAATACACTCTAAAAACATGTTAAAATAAAATTCCATGCTATGGATAAATGATACCAACTAAGTATATTATATACTTAACTGTATTTCAATTAATAATGTTAATACAAATTACAACTACAATAACAATATATGTATTATTTTATTATTTAATTTTTATTAACTAATATTTTTTGCCTAAGCCATATGCAATAAAAAAAAAAAAAAAATTAATAATGTGAGTGTTAATTATATTTTTCTAGCCAAAGTTGAAGAAGAAATGAGAAAATCTCCTTTATCCATGTTTGATCCATTATCTAAAGTAATCAACTCTCAAGATAATAATTTATTACATAATGGGTAACTATTTTATTTAATAAATTATTTCATATATTACTTTCTTAATATTTATTTTAGAGAATGTAACCTAAGTTCTAAATCTAGTTTGTCTGGTAAAGAACAAGCAACATTTGTGTCTGTTGTAAGTATATATTTCACAATTAAATAATTAGATTTGTTGTGTTCCTTATTTTTTATGTTTTACGTATATATAGAATTATTTATTTTAATTGATGCTATTATTTTTATTGTTTTTTATTATTATTTTTTTTTTCGGCTTCTTGCTTGGTGTTTAAAAAGGGTGGAGATAAGCTGACTTTATCACTTAATGGTGGTATTGCAGCAACAGAAGAAACTAAGCAATCATTGGATGATCAATCTTTATCTGAAACTTCTGTATCTAAAGAAGACCGTAAAAGATGTGCTACTCCAGTAACAGTTACTCATTTCTCTTTTGGTGAATGTGGTAAATTAGAACAAAGAGTGATTTCTCCTGAGAGAAGTCCTACAGAAAGTATGTCAAGTATTTTGTCCTTACCATTTAATGCCACTTCTCCAACTAGCCCTCGCAATCCTTTTTCGGCAAATCCATTTACTGGAGATTCCCAGACAATGACTAATCCATTCTTATCACCATTATCAAATCCATTTTCTGATAATAGTATAAAAAAAGATTCTACTAATGGTGTTGTGGTTTCTGTTGTTGAATCAACTGATACAAATGGTATTGCAAATTCTGATACTAAAATTGCCCAAAAAATGCAGGTATGTTATTTATCTATATTTGCTTGCATAGTGTTAATGTGATATTGTAGTATTGTTATGAAAGTATATATTAAGCATATTAACATCCCCAATGAAGAGTGTCGTAACTCACTTTTACAAAATGTTCAGGAAAGACAATATAAACATTCAAAATTAAAATCTTATTCCAGTTTTCAAAAATTGTAAATCTAAAAATTATTTTTGTAATCTTTCAGGTTCTTTCTTAAAATCCAGTTATTCTGTTTTCAGGTAACTCTATTTTTTGACAATAAATAAATAGGTTAAAAAAAATTATGAGTTATGACTATTTTTGTTGGAATAAATAACATAAAAATAAAAACGTAAGTCAAGTTTCGACTATTTTCGTTGAAAAATAAATTAAAAAATAAGTCAAGACGTAATAAACATAATGTCTTGTTAATTAAAATAATATATATTATGACAACTCAATATAATTATAATATATATGATATTTTATAATATACATAAGTCATAAACCAATATATTGTATATAATTTAAAATAAAGAAAGTAGGCAGATTTGGAATATGGTATATAATTTATTAGAGTTTTAACTATCTGAGAAATTTTAATAATACTTATGCTTTTTTCGCAGCCATTAATTATAATATTATTCATTGTGTATTTCATCGCAAAAGTAAAATAAATAAAATATTGTTAATAATTCCAACAATTAATAACATAATATCTCAATATTGAATTTAATAATGTTAAATTATAAAACTTTCATTACTTATTATCAATAATTATTGTGATTGATTATGCTAAAAGCTAAAACTCGCAAAGTTAAGCAAGCAGAAATCCAAAATTAGAATATTATAAATTATAATATTCGAATTACCATAGTTTTCGTTGGTAATCTTGTTTAAATTTAGTGGTAACTCATGATAAAACTTTTTTCGCGGGAAATCAGCATTTTAATATCTTATAATATCTTCGGTTATAGTTGGAGGAACTGTTATTCTACTGAGGACTGTTTTCGTGGTTTTAAAGAAAAAATTGCGCTAATAGATGGCGTAGCTAACTCAAACAAAAAAAAAAATTAGTTACGACACTCTTCATTGAGGACGTCGATATACCTAATCAATTATACTAAATTTAAATTAATTTTTATATTGTTAATGCTTACTTGTTTTAGAAAAATTTAAGTAATTGATTATTAACCATACATTGTAAATAATACCCATTGCTATACATTATGATAAAATAATTGTTCATATATAGGTCGTATATATTTTATAATAAGCTTATATCATAATGAGTTATTTCTTGGTCAATTTTTGAGGAAGTTATAATTTTGATTATTATATTTATAATTATGAGTATTATAATGCCTATGTACAACTTGTATAGAATGAACTTAAAAATAAAATGTAGAAACTACTAAATACTGTTAATAATTAAAAAAAAAACCTTATTAATGGTTTAATTTAATAAGAAAAATTTAATTCCCCTAAGAAACATAATTTTATTTTTAAATAGTTTTAAAAAGTGTAGGATGTGTTTTTACTAAAATTTAAAAATTAATCATTGTAAGTTATAGTTTAATTACTATCACTTCTGTAAAAATGTACATAAAGCATTTAAAAACGATTACCTTTTATATATTTGTTCTTAAAATATCTTCTTATGAAAAATATCATTTTTACATGATAATATAAAAACTTTAATGTTATACTTATAAAAAATTATTTTTCACTTAAAGTATATTTTTTTATTTTATTTCTAACAGTTATTTATACATTATAATTTTTAATGAAGCCTAATTTAAATTTGTATATTTATTTTATATTATAATTTTTATTTTTATCTTAAATAATTTTTTTGTTTTTTAGGAACCTGCTAAGGTGAAGGCTTTAAATCAAATTTCACCGTGGTTAGTGAGTAGTGGTACTGAGCCTTCATCAGGGCCCAAAATAATAACCAGAAAATCTGTAATCACTACTCAACTTTAAGAGTGTCATTTATATTGGTACTTTACACTATTAAATACTTTATTAAAAACTTAAATTATTGTTTAGTACTTAATTTGATATTTATTTAAACATATAGTTATACACAAAATCTTATGTTAGGCATCACAAATTTTTCCTTGAATGCAATATTTTAACATTATTTAATTTGATCTCTGTTCTTTTATGAGTTAAAAGAAATTTATAATTAAAATTTAAAACAAATGTTATTGATTTTCTTAAGTTTTCAAAAAAAAAAAAAATAAGTTTCAATTTTAGATATTTTTATATAACTATTAGTCACTATTTTTTGTATATGATCGAAGTAATATATACTACATATATATATAAAATAAATAAATACATATTCCTTCCCTTGAACAACACTGTTTCTTAAATTTTGAGTAATGAATTTATTAATTAATTATTATGATTTAAATGATTTATGTAATCAATATTATTTGTACATGATTCAGACTGAAAATTATATTATTGATATACGATAATTATATAATGAACACATTTTTTTTTTTTTTTTGTTGTTTGTCATCTCAACCCTACTTTTTTTGCTTATATTTCATTAAATGTATTTATCAAGGCTCAATATAGTTTGCCCTATGAATTATTAATTTACTATTTATTAAAAATATGTTTACTATTTTTATTATTATAATTTCGTATGGCGACTATTTTTATTACATGCATATAATACATTTTAGTTGTTATGAACAAAACTGAATTAATGAAGTGCCTTTATCGTTGTATTCTCTTATATTGTTACTCTTTTCTTTTGCATATTTAATTCCAATATTTATTATTGATATTAAATTGTTTAGTAATATTAAATATAATTTTTTTTTTTATTAGTTAATTCAAACATCTATTTCATAATAAGATAATTTTAATATAAAATAAATGTATTTATTTTTTGTTAATGTACAACTTTTCAAAATATTTTTTAAATTTGATAAATAAATTAAATGTTACGTAATTCTATATTTTTAAAATTGTTGAAAAATCATTAGTGTGTATATTTTTATATATTGCACTTAGTGAATTTAGTGTTGAACACATTTGCCTTTTACTTGTGATACTTTATAATTATAATGCAGTATTAAATTGTTATTTTTTTTTTATTTTTTTAATTGCAGTATGACAAAATACAATTAAAAAACATAATTAAATATTTTGTTTTAATTTAGTGTCTACCGTCCTAGTGTAATTTAGTATTCATATCTATATATATTTAATTATTGTAAGTTTTATACTGATTGTGCCATAGTTTATAGGTGTTGTATATAACAGTTATGATAATATAAATATTGTGAATGTTCTAATATGGCATTGATTACTGTTAAAACTTAATAAATATTGTTTGTGTTAATAGTTATATAATTTAAAATTTAAAATACTTTTATATTTTAAAAAAATTTAATAACGATATTATTGAAGAATAAGTTATTTTAAATATTTAAGTTAACTTGAATTTCTAATTTATTTAAAAATAATAGACATTTATGCCATTTTAGAACTAAAAAAAACAAAATATACACATTTTTATTTTTATTTATAATTTATGTTGTGAAATCTATTAGGTCATTAAGTTATAAACAATTTAATTTTAATGTATTTTAAACATAGTTGAAAACCGTCCATTGATAATAAAAACATATATGTGATTACTAAGTTATTATTTATTTTTATTTTTAATAGTATGTTCATATTTTACTACCTAAAAAATGGTCCATCAATAATTTGTCAAAATGCTTAAGTTAGGTTTTTCAAGAGGTGTCACTGGAAATTTTAATATCTGGTTTAATATGGTTTCATCGGTTTCTTTTTACAAAATTGTAAAAAATGAATCATTAAACCCATTTTTTACTATAACAAAATAAATAAAAATGTGATAATTTTATTATAGTCAGATTATAATTTTGCCTCATTAAATATAGACAAGATAGTAATACGACTAAAAATCTCTTCTGTGAAACTTTGGAATAATGAAGTAAAACTGGTAATATTAACAAGTTATTGAATATAATTTACTTGGTAATAATTGTTTTTTTTTTTTAAGAAGCATTTTTAAGTCACCATTAATGAGAACCATAATGTTTTTATAGGCATTCCGCAAATAAAGTTTTTCACAGGTATTCTATACTTTCAAAATTATAGCAACTTAAATATTACACTATGTTTACATCTATTTTAATAATATAAAAATTAAGTTGTAACAACAGTTCCGGTTCACGATTCACACGTCTTTATTTTATCTCCGTTAAAATTCGTTGTTATTCTCGTTCTTTGCAACTGTTTCGGTTCAAATTAATACGTACAAATTGCTATCATTAAACTCTATTCTAATTAGTAACTTAATTTGAACTTGTAAGTACGTCGTTCCCGTAGAGCTTACAAAATGTGTTTTTTTTTTTACTTATGTTAATAAAGCGGCTAGTACGTTATCTAAAGGTGCGTTTACATTAGAGCCCGAAAACGAACGAACGCAAGTGAATGCTACCGAACGATCCAATGTAAACGGTTGCTGCCATAAGCGCAGTTTCAACTTTTGACTTGGGGTTGCTGAATATATTAAGGGTAAATAGACCCGTGGGGTGTAAAGCCCCCCCCCCCACACCTTCCACCGATCACTACTATTCATATCTTACTTTATAATATTACTTCATAATCTGATTAAATTTTTTTGTCTTCATTATTACGGTCGACCTACCACAAATTTTAAGTAGGGGGGGGGGGTGACTTATAATAACATAATTCTAACAACATAATAATACATTTATTAATTTATTTTATTATACCTATACATCAATCAAAATAAATAACAAATTATAATTGTAATCTTTTACTGGTCTTAGCATATTCAATTAGTATATCCTCAGATTTAAGCTGATTTGATGCTTCTCTTTCAATGTTAATTATTACCAAATTGGAAAATCGCTCATCAAACAAATATTAAACATTTAATTCTAAAATACCAGTAATAATTTTTATTTTATAATTAACATGGTCATCTCATAATATATAATATTATTTAAATATAAAAAAAAATAAAACTGTACACATTTATAATATTATAACATTTTAAATTTGTAAATTTTTGGGGTGGCTACGGCTAAGTTTGGGGGGCTTAGTCCCCCACCCCACCCCAATTTGCGCCTAGGGTTGCGGACGAATGTCTAGCGAATATGCGTTCACATTCGTTTAGTAGCATTCGTTTGCATTCGTTCGTGTTCGGGCTCTAATGTAAATGCTTAAACCTGGTGTCACACTTGCGGAATATCCGCGGCAAAATTTTCGCGTTGTATAGACTGGTGTCACAATTGTGTTTTTTCCGTAGTGGAATTGGCGCCAAAATTTAATACTAAATTACTTGATACTACAGCTCAGTAGTAGTTTTAATACTTCAGTTTTATTTCATTTTTCATACAGAATAAACTGTTTGTCGTATTAAGATAATATAATATGGAACTATTAAAATTTTTAGACAACGTCGAGTTGGTATCTGTTCCGCTTGCTGCTGACACAGTTGAGCGACAACGTCTTTATTGGGTCCATCCACTCAATGCTCAGAGAATAACTTTGGATGAGTTCCACTGCTTATACTCTGACTTGAGGAAATATCCGGATCGTTTTTTTTAATTACTATCGTATGTCTATTAAATCATTTGACGAATTGGTGATTTTATTGAAACCACGTATATCTGAAACGAACTCCACATTCAGAGAAACTATTGCCATTGAAGAACGGCTGATAGTTACATTAAGGTAATATAATAATTTTTATTTAAAAAAGTTTGCAAATGAATAATTTTATTTCGATTTATAGACAAAAAAATAAATAAATAAATAAAAAATTAAGAATGTCCATAGAAAGTTCAAAACGAGTCAAAATATTTTAAACATTTTATCAAGTACAGGAATTGATAAAATAAACACATAAATATAAAATTAAAATTAATTAATTTTGTGTAAATTTTATGAATCTATAGGTAATATTATTCGTTTTTGAATTACAACAGAATAAAAAAATCGCTACATGGGACTATTACTATTACTATATTTCTTGTAGTTTAAATCCTATAAACATGGATTTGACTGCACTTCAGAAATTAATAATTCAACGTCTAATATGATGATGATGCTCGTTGAAGAATTAATAATCAAATGATGATTAAAATAAAATATTATGATTCCGCTACAAACATGATATGGGTAACCCAAAAGAACATGTTTGGATTTATTTTGGTGTCCGTCGCGGAAATAAATCCCGCGGAATAATGGCGACGTGTAGAGGTTTTTTTTCTGTGCGGAAATTCCGCTGTAATGTGTCCAGTAGTAATTAATTATATGAATTTCGATATTGCAGAACTTCCGCTGCGGATATTTTGCAAGTGTGATACCGGCCTAACAGTCGCCACTCGTCGCGTGATCCATAGATAACGTGTTGCGTTATAGCGGTATTGCGTGCGTTGTCCGGCGGTCTGTGACCTTTGCTCACCTAAGATATACCGTATACTTCAAATACAAATCGTGTACAAACGAAAACAACCCAATCTAATACGGATAAAGGTAAAAATAAAAACAGCACTATACAACCTGCTCGTTTAACAAATCCGACGTATTCTAACCTAAGTCCCATAATTAATTCTGAACGTAGTTTTCAGAGTGGTAATATGAACAATCCTACAGATGGCGAATAGATTATGCATAAACCTTCAAAAAATTCCAAAAAGATTGTTTCAAGTTCTTCATCTGATGCTTCTCATTCGAAAACCCCTCCTCCGTTAAACAAAAATTTATTTACTACATGCAACTGTTTTGAAGCGCTAAATCAAAATCAAAATGATACACCAGACATAGATCTCGGCACAACCTTTGACCAAAAGCAACCAAATGATGCTATCCACATCAAACTCCTCCCCCGATATTCATAAAATGTATCTTAAACTTTCCAAACTTCTGCTCAGCTTTTATAGAGCTAATTGGTG